TATATGCATAGAGTAACAGAATCATAGCTTTAGCGCTGGAAGAGGACTTAGAGGCAATCTAGTCCAATACCATTATTTTACAAAGGATGCAAGTAAGGATGAGAGAAGATGAATGATTAACCCAAGGTCACATAAATGACAGAAATAGTAGAATATAATGTTGAATGTTTTTTTCTAACATACTGATTGAGTTTGCCAATTTTCTTTTCTTTCTTTTTTTTTTTAAAGTCTTTGCTATAAGGCAGAGTTCTCTTGGAGGGGAAGAGAGTGGGATATAGGAGGAATATAGGTGAAATAATAACAAAAGCTATCAATAAAACTCTATTTTAAGTAGTAGTGAGTAGTGGTTTTTCCCTGTCACTGGACGTTTTCTAGTGAAGTTTAGAATACCACTCATTAGTAATTTGTAGATAGGATTCTTTTTTAGATATGGTTGTTCTAGATGATTCCTGAATTCCTTTCTAATCAGCGATTTTATTCTTCAGCAATCTCTAGAGCCCATTCTATGGAGGAGATTCAGAAACTCCCACTCATGACTTTGGCTGTTCTGATTCAGGAGACATCACGGCCCAGAGCTGGCCCCAGAACTGACTGTAATCTTTCCTTTGTCCTGGTCCTGCATTGTCCAACCAGACTTCCAGAAACCATGCATTGGAGAAACTTAGGAAATTCTACACCACATCCTAAGTGGTAGAAAGTGGGTCATGGGGCAGAAAACACATGTTGCAGTAGTCAGGAAAATAGCTACAATCAAAGCCCATGTTTGGTTCTAAGGCCATCTAGGTATAGTGAGATCTACCTCTTCCTTTGGGAACTGTAATTGAATCAATACTACTACTGCTTTTAGAAAGAGAATCTGTTAAGTGACTTCTTAAATCTCAACTCATCATCTTTGAATTCTTAGGCCAAAATATCCTTCCTTCATACACACACACACACACACACACACATATACACACACATACATATACATATATATATGTGTGTATTTATATATATATATATATATATATATATATATATATACATATATATATATATATATGTAATGTTAACATAGTTGTCTCCTGTCACAGTGAAAACTTCTTGAAGGCATCAGGTGTCTCATTTTCCTGTTTGTATTCTAAGCACTTAACATAATGCCTGGCATGTAGTACAGCTAGGTTTCATTTAGTGTGAACAACAAATCCTTTGAAGTGGTTGCATTTTTAGAATTTATACTTCATATTTCCATTGGGTTAGAACAATGACCATATTTTAAATAATTATACTTTCAACATAATGCAAATTTGAATACATGTGGTCCCTTTAGGGGATTCATTTTTTGCAGTAATAGAGTCCTAGCAATAAGTACTAGGTATCTAGGTGGCATGGAGTCAGGAAGATTTGAATTCAAATCCTGCTTCAGATATTTACCCAGCTATGTGATACTGGACAAGTCAACCTCTCTCAGCCTGTTTCCTCATCTATAAAATGGGTATAATAATAGAGGCTACGTCACTGAGTTGTGAGGATTGATGAGTTAGCATGTAAAACACTTTGCAAACCTTAAAGAACTACATAAATGCTAATGTTGTTGTTACTAAGAAATCTTTCTTTAATTCACTGATTCATTTATATATAGGATAATAGAATCACTGCTTTAGAGCTGGAAGGGACCTCAGAGCACATCTATTTCAATACACAAGTTTTTTTTTTTAATAATAAAACTGAATTACATCGAGGGTTTGAACCCACCCACTTTTTCTTGACTCCAAATGCATCAATCACTTTTTCCACCAAACATGTGCTAAGCATAGTGATAGAAAAATGACAGGTTTTAAATAAACTCTGTTAGTTAATTATATATTCCTAAATTAATTTATTTTAAAGAAATTTTCAAGGAAAAAACCTAAGAATAGAAGTAAGTAAAAGGTGTTACCTAAATATGTGGATGCAGCTACCACCTAAGGAGTAAACTGCAGGTAAGAGAAGCCTATGAAGTAATAGCTTCTTTCTGAAGGTGGGATTTAGATCTCTTAATTGCATGCATTCATTCAACAAGCATTCATTAAATGACTACCATGTGCAAGGCAATGTGTCAGACACTGAGCAAACAGTGTCTAACACATTAGACAGCAAAGAAACAGTAACTGGCTCATAGTATATATGTAACAAATTCTCTCTCTGTCTCTCATCTTTTTTTTTCTTTTCTATATCCACACTTGCTCATTTTCCTTTGTTGTTGTTGTTGAATATACCACTATTCCTCCATTTACCTAAGTTGGTAACCTGGGAATTACTCTCATCTTCACTTTCACTGACTCTTGAGATCCAATTAGTTGCAAAGTCTTATTGGTTCTACTTCCATAACACATTTTATCTATCCCCTTCTCTTTACTCATGGCACAAGCACCCTAGTTCAGGTTTTCATTACTTCTTACCTATACCATTTCAATAGCTTCTTAATTGATCTTACACTTTCATGTCTCCTTCCTTACCAAACCACACTCCATCCAAACTGATATTATTAAAAGCACAGGTCTGACCATTTTCACTCCCCTACTCAGGAAACATCATTGGTTCCCTATTACCTCAAGCACAAAATACAGACTCTTCTGTGTAGCATTTTAAGTCTTTCACAAACTGGCTCTAGCTTCTCCTTCCAGGCTGATTACCCATTGCTTCCATCTGTGCCCTCTAGGGTCCAGTCAGATTGATCTTCTCCATGATGTTTCATTGCTGAGCTTCACGCTTTTGTACGGGCTGTTCCTTTATCCCTGGAATGCTTCCTTTTGGGTCTTCTTGTTGTTGAATGTGACTACTAACTTCCTTCCAGGCTCAGTTCAGATGTTACCTCCTTTAATATACCTTTCTTAATGTCCCCGGTTGTATTTATTTTCTACATACACTCTGTTTGTCAGGGAAATGTCAATACACCATGGATTGTGTGTGTGTGTGTGTGTGTGTGTGTGTGTGTGTGTGTGCCCCAGTACTGGCAACTGGTAGATATGATAGATGATTCTAGCTGATTGATTAATTGATAATTCCTTTCCAAGCCATCCTCTAAGAAAAAAGTCTCTTAATAACTATCACTCTGCTACTCACAAACCTTCAGTAGCTTCACCACTACCTATTTTGTAAAGTTCAAACCCCTTAGCTTGACATTCTAGGCCTGATTTAGAGCAGATCCCCACTCTATTAAGATTTATGGAATCTAATTATTGACATAGGAAAATATCTGATGGCTTCAAATAATGAATTAGAATTATCATATATGAAAATAATTCTTAAACCATACATTTTAATACCTGAGCCCATTTGAACCAAAAGGAATAAGGCATGACACAGATGTTTCTAATGAGTGGAGTCATCACTGAAATTATAATTGTTTCCTGTGCAGGTTACTAAAGGACTTAGAAAACATCAGCAAAAGGACATCCAGGTTGCCATTTAATTTTGATACTTGTCTCTCAGACACAAAGTCAGTTTGTCTACATTGGCCTTTAGCCCTAATATTATCACTATTAAATTACAAATAGCCTTTGGTATTTTCCCCTTCAGTTAATACTTTAGTTTAAATGAAAAATACTGTTCTTATTCATTTCTTTGATTTACACCAAGAATCCTTGCTCCAGCAGAGCATGAAATACAGCTATGTTTGGTCCTGCACAACTTCCTTAAAGAAAACTTAATTTGATTTTTGTCATTATTTATCTCAGTCTCACCTCCCTGGGCTTCTGCTGTTCAAATTAATTTGCATTTCAGACCTCGGCATTTTACTTTGTCATTAGAGTTATGAAATGTTTTTACTCAGCACAACTAAGAACTGATGTTTTACCTCCCACTAATGGATCTTTAATTAGACATTGTAATGAACCATTCTGTCATTCCTTCATTTCTAGTGAGTAGATTTGTATATGCATAGTGATACAACTCTCTGCTTATTATGTTTTGTTAGTTATTGGATTAATAATTTTCATTGAACTGTCCACAGTCAGAAGATTGCTTCCTTGCAAACTACTGCCTCACCATTCTCCAGGGATGTTTGTTGACATCTTGATCAACAATGCTTGAGGAACAATCTTGCCTATGGTATTAGGACTTCTGGACTTTGGGCAAGTTAGTTAACCTCTGTCTCAGGATTAATTGGTTAATTTTAATAAAGTGCTCTGTAGTAAAAAAAAAATAGTAAGTGCTTTGGCTCCTAATGGTGATAATGAAATAACTGTGCAGCCATTTATAAAACATTAGGCCCTCCCAGCCTCAGTGAATCTCAAAGTAAAGCATACATCAACTACTTCTGTCCTTTCTAAGAACAGATTCTAAGAACAGTGATTGTCATGCATCATTCTACCCTATGGCTTATTTCTAGCACACAGCTACATACAGATATACTGTCATTGAAATGAGACTGAAGATGTTGTCTTTAAAGTCAAATTTCTCTTATATTCACAAATTAAATGGGAGGAGGAAGAATAATACAAAAGTCATTTTACTTGAGTACTGAATATATTCTGTGATTTTCTTAGAGTCACCATTTACAGGTATTTGGAGGGGTTTGGGGGAGAAGTCAAGCAAGTCACTGCTTTTATCCATGATTTGCTAAAGCAATACATTATGTCCTTCCACTAAAAAAATTAACTTGATCTAATATTTTGGAAGGGATGAGGAAGGCATGAGATTAACTATTAGTTATGATTAAGTCATTTATGGATGGTTGAAAGTTGCTTACATAAAACTTTTCATATTTTTGATACATTTAACTAATAACTGAGCTGTCCACAGTCCACTTAAATGAAGGTAGCTAGTAGTATCCTTCTTCATTTTCAGGAAAAAATAATTGAGGCAGCAATTAAAGTGGCCTGCTCGAGGACATATACACAAGCCTAAATGAATAAGAGAAGAGATGAAAACAGAAACTAAGGAGAAGATTGAAATACAGTCACAGATTCCATCTAATTAAACATCAAAATCAAACCAGGCTGAAGTACGTCTTGATGGCCATAGCCTCCACTTACAGTATTGGCATCTGTCTCCGGTGTATTCAGGCATGCATTGGCAGTAGGGTTGGTTCCCCGCAGTGACACTGCAAGACCCTCCATTTTGACAAAACTTCTCACAGACCATCTGATTGCAGTTTGGTCCAGTAAAACCCAGAGCACAGCTACAGGTTGGCCTTCCTGTTGGTAAGGGATAAAAAAGGCAGAAGAAAGGAAACAATTTAAATGAGTCTTCATGGTGTGATGGAAAGTCTTGAATTTTAATCTCAGCTTCAGTAGTCACTCTCTAGCTGTGTGACTTTGGATAAATCACAAAACCTGCTTGGCCCTTATATCTTTGGTGCTTATTTTAATCTCCCTTTTATCATAGTTATTTATGTCATTTTCCCCTTGGGACAGCTAAATAGCTGGAAGTCAGGAAGGCTCATCTTGCTGAGTTCAAATCTGACCTCACATACTTCCTAGCTGTGTGACTTTGGACAAGTCACTTAACCCTGTTTACCTCAATTTCCTCATCTGTAAAATGAGTTGGAGGAGGAAATGGCAAAGCACTCCAGTACCTCTGCCAAGAAAATCACAAATGGGGTCACAAAGGTTCAGATACAACTGCAAAAATGACTGAACATTTTACCATTTAGATTATAAAACCTGACATTGAGACCTCTGTCACCTTTAATTTTACATTGAAAGTATATTCGACATGTTAAGCACTTAATAAATACTTGTCAAATTTAATTAGACCTCAATCACCTTATTTTTGAAATGATGATCTCTTAAGTCCTTTTTACTCTAAAATTTTCTGTGCTGTATATCACAGAATCACAGGATCTCATAGTTGAAATAACCATCAGAGGTTATTCAATCCAACCCATATCTGACCAAGAATTCTCTTTCTTCCCCTTCCAATAAGTGATCCTTTATTCTCTTCTCAAACACCTCTAGTAAGAAGAAATCACTTTATTGTACAAATTGTTGTTGTTAAGTCTTTTTTCAGTTGTATTTGACTCTCCATGATCTCATTTGGGGTTTTCTTGGCAAAGATACTGGAGTGGTTTGCCATTTTATTCTCCAGCTCATTTTATAGATGAAGAACTGAAGCAAACAGGGTTAAGTGACTTGCTCAGGGTCACACAGCTACTAAGTGTCTGAGGTCAGATCTGAATTCAGCAAGATAAGCCTTCCTTATTCCAAGCCCAGTGCTCTATCTACTGCACCACCTACCTTTCCCATTGTACAAATAATGGAATATAAAATCATTGGATTCTAGGCTCTCTGTTCTTTCCTATATTTGCCCATTTATTGTTTTTCCCAGCAGTTGTTGCAACGTTAACTTATCGGGAATAGTACTATATCCTCTTTAGACTGTAAACTCCAGAAGGTCTAGACCATATGTTTTAGTGTTCTGGTATCTCCCGGCTCCTGTTGCTATGTCCTCCACATGGTGTGAGCTTACAAATGTAGCCAGTTAGTAAATAAGCTCTACCTAAATGCATTTTCCAACAAGTTATGATTTACCAATCTATTTATAGTAGTTTATTTTGAACGCAAGTGATTATAACATTCCATTACAAAAATGCAAATACATTTTAAAAAGTATAATTGAAACAGTACACAATAGTGAATCTGTGAGATCATATACACATACATATATACATATGTATGTATATACATGTATATATATACAAATACACATATGTGTATATACATGGTTTTTATTTCTTCCTTTTTTTCTGCCACACAGAATTCATAATTGCATTAAATATGGATAACATATTCAGCAGTTTTCAAAGCAATTCCTCTGCTAAGTGGCCATGTTAAAGTACGAAGTATCTCATACCTACGGAATTGTTAAAAACTGAGATGGGAAATGGAGTAAGGGGATCTTCTTCTATTGTGAAAATTCTCAGAAGAGAGAAGCTAATATTGGTGTGAGGAAGTAAAAAGGTTTAGAGATAGTGCAAGAGTAAAGAAATGTGGCTTTGGAGGCAATCAGAAAAGGATAATGTTTAAGGACCAACTAAACAGCAAAGTTTATTTTAATTGCCTGATAAAGGTTAAGGGAGTTGATCAGTTGAATTCCATGATTATTAATTTGTTGATCTTATAGGGAAGCCTGTTTTGGGGGGAACTTTGATTTAATTTCCCTGTGAAGAGTGTGAATGTACGTCCACTTGTTTATCGATTGTGAATGCCTAGGGATTTTCCCATTAGAATGTAAGCTCATTGCAGCTGAGATTGTTTGATTCGTTGTACTTGTAACGTGGGGTATGCTGGTAAATCGTTATCAACCAGCTCACCTCAACCCCCCAAATACAGCAAGACACATATTTAATATTATTATATTACATCAATTATTTAATATACATAATATACTATTAATGAATATTGATATAAATATTTAATAACATACATTAATATTTTCTTGAGTATAGACACTCAATAAAACAATAAATCAAGCTCTGATGTGTAGCATTGCCCATTTCTGATGTGTAAATGCTCTCACTTAAAATTTAATAGTCAGCTCTGGTGAGCCTGTACAGGCTGGCTCCGGTATATCCCTGATTATAACCCCAACCTAAGCACAATGACTGATACATGGTGTATTCTTCGTAAATAATTATTGATTAACTAAGAGGATCATACATATATCTAGAGCTGGGAGAAACCTCAAGGGTTATAGAGTTCAATCATTCCCTTCATTTCATAAATAATGAAACTGAGACCTAAGGAGATTAAATGATTTGATGTCATAAGTATCAGATAGATATGGTATTTGAACCCAGGCAAGAGAGGGAAATTCATGAATAATGTTCTTGAACCCCTACTTCTTATGTAGAAAAGGGAGATTTTATTTCCTGGTCAGCACAATGATTATAATCTAGTGTTTTTAGTCAGAGACAAGAGTTTCTTGCATAACACCAGCCTTAGGGGTAACATTGACAAAAACTTCAAATTCAAGAATTCAAAATTCAAGAGTTCATAGACTAGTCTTTCTGGAGAAAACCATTATTCCTGAACACTAGCATTTCTTAGAGAATGATGATTGTTTTTATGGCCCTTATAGCTAGTCATGACATGGGAGAGGTGAGGGGCAAGTGATCAATAATTTGCTCCCCTTCACTATTCCCATGAGTTATTCAATTCTATGCAAATATGATGGGAAAAGGTTGCCTATTCAAAAGCCTCTTGGTACATTTTCCATTTAGGAGGAACGTAACCAAAGGGTGACATATATAAGTCTTGGGGGGAGGCAGGACTATATAGGATGATATGGGAGTGCTAGAAATCCACCACAATATCAAAGGTTTGCTCTAATGACTACAAATTCAATTTTGTCTAAAGAGAAATTCTATGATTGATTAATATGTTTTCTGCATCTGTTTATGGGCTCCTGTAAATATTTTGCTTTTATAGATTTTCTGTGGGTCAAAATAGAGGTAGCCTTTCCAAAACACATTTATTGCCTTTAGTGCTTATAATAGGGACTGGGATCTTTTTACCCACATTTGGGAAAACATAGACATGAGCTATATTTAAGATATATTTGGAGATTTCCTAGAGTAAATTAAAATTGGGCAAATGAAGAACAAAACAAGCAAATGACCTACTTTGGTCAGACCTCAGGTCTGGACCTACTGCATATGAACCCTGGGCCTTTGGTGGATGGGTTAGGTGTGGTTTTGGGTCAAGGGTTTTGCGCACAAAAAAGTAATCAAGTACACAGTTTAAGAGAGGAAGTATCCAACCTTAGGCTGGGGGACCTTACAGTTGAATTTGTTTTTAAATATCATCTGAAAAATGATAGAAACACCCCCCTTTCCCAAGAGTCACTATACCTATAACATGATTGTCATTCAGATATGGAGTAGTGATTCATATACTAAAGTGATTTAAACCATTTTTTACCTACAGGTACTGTTCTATGCACACCAAAACCAAATTCCTATTTATTGATATTCAAGAATAGAGAAGACCTTTTATACAGAGTTCATCCAGCTGTTTTGAAAGGTGTAGTTCGTTTTTGAATTGTACCAGGTAGCTGGTGTGTCTGTACATATATATGTGACTATATGTATGTAGATATGTGTATATATACACATATACTCACATGTGTATGTATATGCATGTATCTCTATATATGTATATATGTACATGGATGCATGTATAATATAAATAAATTATACATAATTTATTTGTTCTGAAAAGCAATATATCATCAATAAATATTTATTGAATCTGCAATATACACGTTATAGTCTAAGCACCAAGGTTACGCAGAAGTATCACATCTTGTTCTTTCACCCAAAGAGTTTTGATCTATCTGGGAAGACATAGTGCCTCTCTGTCTGTCTGTCTCTGTCTCTCTATATAGATGTATATGTATGTGTGTGTGTGTGTTGTGTGTGTTACACACACACACGTACATGTATGTACACAATACACATACATACATACCTATATATGTATGTACAGGGAGAGAGGGAGAGAGAGAGAGAGAGCATCTCGGACATAGTAGGAACTTAATAAATGCTAGTTGACTGACAAACAAATAAGCCAGTAAGTACAATAGCAGCTCACAGAGAAAAGAGAGATTTATATGGGTTAAGCAGGTCAGGAAAGGGTTTTAATAATAGCTAGCATTTATACAGTGTTTTAAGGTTTACAAAGCACTTTAGCCACGCAAACTCACTTGATCCTTACAACAGCTCTGTGGGGTAAATGCTATTACTACCACCATTTTACATATGGGGAAACTGAGGCACAGGGAGGTTTAACTTATTTGTCCAGGGTCATACAATTAGCAAGTGTCTGAGGCAGGATTTGAATTAGACTTCCTTTTTCCAAGTCCTGCACTGTATACATTGTGCCACCCAGCTGCTTATTAAGGAAGTAATACTTGAATTGGGTAGAATTGCCTATGAATATCTCAAAGTTATTTTGTGGTATATCTTTTTTTTTTAATAGAAAAAACCTTATATGAGAAAATAATAGTTCTTTGAAGACAAGTATAGAAGCACATATTGCCAGGGGATAGTTTCCTTTTTTCCCGTATTTCACAGGGAAAAAAAAATAATGTGCTTATATTCCATCTACAGCTGGTTTTAAACTAGTACAGATTGATTGGGTGGTCGTCTGGCATATGCTTCATCTAAGTTTTCAGCCAAATTCTATTGAAAAAG